ATCTCAGTCTCTCCAGCGCTGGGATTACAGGCGTGCGCCACTGCTCCCAGTTTTGGTGCCCTTCACAGCACACCCAGAGTTCTAGGCCTGCAGGGCATGTGTTACCAGGAATCAACCCGGATCCTTGCACTTGCCTTAGGCACTTAGACTGCTGAGCCATCTCCCCAGCCCTATATATTGTTTATATGTGTATAGATTATTTGTATCTTTGTTTATTTATTTCTTTTCTTTCTTTTTTTTTTTTTTTTTTGAGATAGGGTCTTGCTACGCAGTTCAGGTAGACCTTGAACTCACTTTGTAGCCCAGAGCCCAGGCTGGTCTCAAACTCATGACGATTCTCCTACTTCAACCTCCAGAGTGCTGGGATTACAGGAGTACACCAACAAACCCTGGGATACTAGGCCCCGGTCTGTCTCTGTCTCTGTGCATATGTGTGTCTGTCTGTCTGTCTGTCTGTCTGTCTGTCTGTCTGTCTGTCTCTATCTCTCTCTCTCTCACCTTTGCAAGCTCATCATCTCTGACTCTCTGGCTGAGATTCTTGGGGTTTGGGTGGTACTCAGTGAACAGCGAATACCTCTGTTCCCCTTATATTTTCTCTCATTTCTATGTTGTCCCACATGGTGCCTCTTCCCCCCTGAACTGGGGTTTGAACCCAGGGCCTTCACATTGAGCTACATCTGCGGCCTTTCGTATCTCTTCCTCTGAGATGGGGGTCTCATTAAGTTGCTAAATTGTCCAGGCTGGGCTTGAACTTACAGCCTTCCTAGCCAGTGCTGGGCTTGCAGGTGTGCTGCCATCCATGTCTGGCTGCAAATGGCTTTTCGAAGTCCGGTTTTGCAACCCACCCCATCTTGACTACTTCCGGCCCCATCCCTTCCAGAAGTGTCCAGCGCTTCACCAGAACAGAGAAAACACCTGCACTCACATTAGCAGTGGGAAATGATGCATAGTGAGAGTGACAGAGGGGCTGAGAACCATTATGGGTACAGGAAGCCGATCAGCGCTTTTAGGGCACGGGTGGCCAGTGCTTGCCTGGCAGGGAATCGCCCTGTGGGGACACAGTGTTTATCTGGAGGAATAAAGCAAACATCACAGTGCTCCTTTCCTCTCTCTGAATTCTCACTCGAGGAAATCTGAAGCACCCTGCCAGCACAGGACACCTTCCCACCTGCTCTCCTGCTTGGTGCAGAGCGGGATGCCTGGCGACAGCCCTGTGGACAGCTGCCCTTGCCCCCTTCTCTGGGGAATGAGGATGTATACTTCCTGGCTGGGTCCCTGGCGGAGACTCCTGAGACAATCACCCTGAAATGCCACCTAGTCCCCAAGAGAGGTCACAGCCATGGCGAAAGCTGGCTTAAGCCCCACAGATTGTCACCAAATTGCTGGGGAACAGTGCTGTGGGACCCAGTGCCCTGGAAGAATCATGAGCAAGCCACTAGGTTCCACTCTGCCCAGCAGTTGTCAAATGCTATCTAGCTGCAGACCCTTCTTAAACATTTTGCCTGTAAGATTGTGTGTGTGTGTGTGTGTGTGTGTGTGTGTGTGTATCTGATGCATCTCGAGGTGTGCATAGGTGTGTTACACATGTGTGGACTTATGCTCTATGCATGCATGTATACAATGTGTGTGAGCCCTCGTACGTTGAACTGTGCATGGACCAGTGCTCTGTGTGCACACGTGTGTACACAGGTAATTGAAGTTGTGTGAGGGGAGCTTCCTGCAGAGCCCCTACACTTGGCCCACAACTGGCCTGGAACTACTCCTCTCCCACTGGGTGGTGGCTGCAATGCCAGGTGCTCCAGGATCCCCACAAGGACAGACAGACTCACTTAACACCTGCTGAGACCTCCAGGAGAGGCCCGAGGAGAGCGGCTGCTCCTCCTGCTGTACCGGCTCTGCTTCTGATCTTGGTAGCTTGGGTTGTTTCTTTGTTTCGGTGTTTCTAGTGCATTTTCCAGAAAGCTGGTGGCTTGGCTAATGTGGAGGAGCATCCTCTGCAGCCAAGCTAAAGCTTTGCGCCTGCTGGAGCTCATCCCCGCCCCACTGAGCTCCTCCCTCCTCTTTGCTTATCTGCAAGGAAAGTGTGGGAGGCTGAGGAATAAGACAGCGGTAGAACTGGCCTTGCAGCAGGAGGCCGAGGCAGGAGTCCTGGGGTCGGGCGAGGCTGGTACACAGGTTCTGTGGCCAGCTTTGGGAGGCCTGAGGCTGCATTTCGCTGCCTCAGGTCCAGCAATTATGGGATATTTCAGCTCTGGAGGTAGGATCGGGGCAAGAAGATGGAACTAAAGTGACGAGAGGTGGAGAGGCAGAGCTTTCCTATGTGGAATGAAGAGATGCATGGAAGGGACAGATCCCAAAACACCCACCAAACTTCCTTTAAGCATCCACTGATCAGAACTATTAAATCACGATTGTAATTTGGCCTCATATGACTAAAAGCTCAAGCCAAGCAGAGGAGCGAACACCTACAATCTCAGCACTCAGGAGGCTGAGGTAGGTGGATCAGTTCAAGGCCAGCATGGGTTAAATTGGGAGACCCTGTCTCAAAATTTTAAAAAAAGCAAAATTTGTACACAGCCAGAAAAATATAGCTAGTAAACACTGTTAAAATCAGTAAAGTTCAAATATATTGTACCAGAGATCAGAGTCTGAATAATAAATGAAAAGATTAAAAAAAGTGTGGCAAAGACATTAAACAAAATTCAAAGAAAAATAAAACAAGAGAATGGGTTGAACATTTCTTATAAAAGCAGAGAGCAAGCTATCATTTGTCTTTCACCCCTTAGATTTGCAAAGATTATCAGGTCTGAGACCCGTTGGTTGCCAGGGAGGAGGCAGGAGACACTTTCATATCTGGTTAGTAGGAAAAATGTTGTCAGCCTCGCTGGCTGTTGCGGTGGAGTCTCGGGCAGAGTATGGACTGTCCCCATCCTGCCTGCCGTCCTTCTCCCTCTAGTGCTTAGTGACAGTCACTGGTGAGCAGCAGCGCCTGGGGAGTCCAGCGAGCCACGTGGGCACACATTTCACAGAGCTCCTGGTAGATGCCGCCTTAGCATCCGCCCTGTTTCCTGGTGAGGAAATGTCCAAGAGACACAGGATCACAGATGCTCACGGCAGTGCCACGTACAGTGGTAGGAAGCAAAAGGCAGCGTGGTCTATGGCTGCGTGGCCATAGACCCTGGATGGGACATGCCGAGGATGCTGATAAACCATCTCAGTTGCTGTGGGAGACCTCTGAGCTTTTTGTGTTGTTTTAAAAAGCAAGTTTCAGGGCTAGGGATGTAGCTCAGCAGCATGAGCACCTGCCTGGCAAGTACAGGAAAAAAAAAAAAAAAAAAGATAATAATAAATAAAAGTTCTGGAACATTTCACAGGCAGTAGTAGTAAAGAAATATGAATGGGGGGTCAGGGAGATGGCTCAGTAGGATAAGCGCTTGACTGGCAAACACAAGGATCTGAGTTCAGTCCCCGGTTCCGCCAAAAAAGAAAAAGAAATATGAATTGGCAGGGAGAAAATTTTCATTTATTTCTATATGATTTTACTTTTTTTCAAGTTCTGTACAGTTTGTCTTTTTTATTAAAATAAATCTTTTAGGGGCTGGGGAGATGGCTCAGTAGAATAAGCACTTGCCTGGCAAGCACAAGGGCCTGAGTTCAATCCCCAGTTCCGCCCCCCCCAAAAAAAATAAATCTTTAAAAATTTTATTTATTTATTTGGTATACGATCTCACTATGCAGCTCAGACTCAGTGATTCTCCTGTCTTAGCCTCCCCAGCACTGGGATTACAGGCATGCACCACCAGGCCTGGTTTCAGTGGCTGGCACAGAATGTGGTACCAGGAATCAAACCTGGGTCCTTGCATTTGCCAGGCAGGTGCTTAGGCCACTAAGCTATCTCTCCAGCCCTTTTTGTTTGTTTTAAACAGGGTCTCGATATTCAGTTCAGGCTGGCCTTGAGCTCACTTTTTAGCCCAGGCTGGTCTCAAATTTACAGCAATCCTCCTGCTTCAGCCTCCAGAGTGCTAGGACTGTAGGTATATGCCACTTGCCCGGCTTGTACCATTTTTGTTGTTGTTGTTGTTTTCTTTTGTTTTTTAATTTTTTAGGAAAGGGTCTACAAGGTGTTCAAGGTCTCAGTACTAGATCAGATTCATAGTGATCCACCTGTTTACAGCCCCCCAAGAACTGGGATTACAGGTGTGCGCCACCACGCCCACCAGTCTCAATTGCTGTTTTAGCACATCCTGGGGTGAGGCCGGCATGTACCATTTTTAAAATCAAGTTAAACATGTGTTGTTGCTTGGTGGAGGGACAGAACACAGAAGACCAAGTGAGTTCCAGAAGAAATCAGGCTCCATGGGGGAGCCAGGCGCCCCAGCAAGGACCCTGGGGTTTCTAGTTCCCGAGAATCCACAGTGCAGGAAGTGGGTGAGGTGGGAGGGTCGTGGGGGTACCCCTGTCTGAGCCTGGTCAGTTCTGGCAGGTATCTGGCATAGTTGTCACCAGAATGTTTGTGTCTTTTAGGGAGTGGGGGCTGAGATAGCAGCATGCTGTATAGTCCAGGCTGCTCTTGGACTAGCTATGTAGCCCATGCTGGCCCTGGCCTTGTAGTGATCCTCCTGCCTCAGCCTCCTGAGTTCTGGGATTAGAGGTGCATAGCACCACACCCACCTCCAGAGTCACTTCTATTCCCAGCACCCTGAGTTGAATGCTTCTCTTGACCATCACAGCACCAAAGAGGTTGGAGAAGCACCTGTGGGTCAGACCCCACAGCTGTGGGCTATGGAAGTAAATTGGAGTGGAGTGTACACCCAAGATACTCCCCAGTCTTTTCCCTGAGGCCCTCCATGTGCTGGGGTGGTGGAAAAGGGGGCCTTGCCCAGGACTGCTGCCAGTGGGCTCTCACAGTGCCAGCCAGTAACAAGGGGAAGTGTCCAGGTCCCTGGGGCATTAGAGACTTTGCTCCTGCTGGTTCTGATGACATCTTTGATGTGTTTCAGGTACCGGAACTGTGTCTACACCTACAGAATCCTGCCCAGTGAGGACAAGTTCACTGTCCAGGTGAGCTGTGATGTCGTCGGGGAGGAAGGAGCACCTGTCTCCTATTGCCAGGACCTAAAGGCTGGGTGGAGTCTGTCCTCCTCCCAAAGCCCATGGGGTGGCTCTGGGGCAAAGTGTGACTGTCCCCTTGACCCTGCTCCATGACATAATGTGACTTGTGTGCCCTAAATTATCTGCATCTGTGGGGGTGAGAAACGCAGTGGTGAAGCCCAGAGTGGAGGAGAAAGATCCTCACTTGAGGTTGCACCTGCCTTGCTCTAGCTCTGTCCAGCAAGGGACAGAAAGGAGATGGCCTCACCAGAGCCCGGAAGCTCAGCAGGTGACGGCCTTACTCCGTAGAGCCCACAGCTGCCCCACAATGGTGCGTGTGGCTGCTGAGGTCACTAGCAGGATCTCATGGCTTCACAGGATGTGGGGCTGAATTTTAAAAGAAAAATCGCACTGCCCCAAGCCCAGCAAGGCCACCCGGGGCCTGGTGTGTGGGACAGACGTGAAGGACTCTGTTTGACCGCAGTGGAAGTCAGGGAAGCTATTTTTATCCCACGGCATGAAGAGAACACGGGGGTGGAGGAAAGCAGAAGGCACTGGTCTCGGCGTCCTCAGCTGGAGGGGGAGGCTGCGTGTGTGCATGCATGTGTGTATGTGGTGTGTGTACATGTGGGGTGCATGTGCATGCATTGTGTGCGTGTGCATGTGTGCATCTGCATGGGGGTGCATATGCCTGCATGTGAGCATGTGTGGGTACATTGCATGTGTGCATGTGTGAGCATGTGGGGGTGCATTGCATGTGTGTGTGCACATGTGTATGCGAGTGCACACATGTGATGTGTTGCATGTGTGTGCGTGAGGATGCATGTTGTATGCAGGTGTATGTGTGCATGTGTGTTACTGAGTCTGCAAAGATCCTGGTAAGAAGGGCAGAACAGCTGGGAGAGACAAGGTTTGGTCACCATGTCACAGAGGAGCAATGAGAGAGCTGAGGGCATTGAGTGGAAAAGAAAGTGGAAGTGAGACACGGGAGAGGAAGACCCAGCATTGGCTCCAGAGCCTGTCGGGCCTTTGATTCCAGCATGCAGGAGGCTGAGGCAGGAGCATCGCCCCGTGCACTACATAGTGAGTTCAAGGCTAGCCAGAACTATACAATGAGACTCTGTCTGAAAAAAACCCAAAACAGTTTCTGATGTGGACTCGTCACCCACATGAATGTGGCCAGTGCAGGCCCGCAGTGGGTCTCACAGCTGCCACCATACCCCAGCCTGGGATGGCGCGAACTTTCTCTCTGGCCAGTGTCCTTCCTGGGGTCCCCTGAGAGGAGTCACAACAATGCTTTAAGTTGAAAGGTGGCCAGTGCCTTAGACACTCCTCCCCAGGGTTTCTCTATTTCTTCAGAAGGGAGGAAGGTAAGTGTGACTGCGAAGGATGGACCCTGCGGCTGGCTGGCTGTGTCACTGTACCTGACCCTCACGGGGGTGCAGACTCTGTCTGTCTGAGCTTACGCCCCACCAGCCTCATACTTTTGCTGCGGCTGCTTCCTGCAATGCTGGGTCAGCCTCAGGCAGGCAGTGGCTTGGAAAGCCAGAGCCTCTGTGGGCCTCAGGGTGGCAAGAGGCTGCAGCCACGTGGGCTAAGCCATGAGTGGCGGTGGGCCTGGTGCTAGGCAGAGAAGGGTCAGGTCGCAGGCTGGACACCAGCACCATGGCTCAGCTCTTCTCTGTGGCCTTCTGGGAGAGCTGAGTGGAGAAGACCCCAAGGGTTTTCCCAGCCTCAGAGGCTACCGGGCTATGTGACTCGGCTACCCCAGAGGAGGCGCCCCTGGAGTCATGGGCACCAGCAGGCTCCCTCAGGCCACCTTAGCCAGATTACACCTTCCTATGAAAACACACGTCCTAATCGGGCATGGTGGCACATGCCTATAATTCCAGCACTTGGGAGGCCAAGGCAGCAGGATCCCAGGGAGTTTTAGGCCAACCTGGGCTCCATGGTGAGACCCTATCTCAAAAAAATAAAATCAAACAACCAAAAAAGGTACACTTCCTCAAATCAATGGCTGCAGAGGCCCCAGAAAGCAGATCTGAGCACAAGCCCAACTTAAGCCCAGTCAGAGGTTCCCAGGGAGGCTTCAGTGGTTATTAATGGCTGCTGATTTTAACTTGAGTTCCTCTTTTCGTTTTGAGGCAAAAGAAACTCTCACACATTTTCCTGGGCTTGCTTCAGTTTCTAAATAACTCAATCCCCCCCCCCCCCCGAAGTCTGTTTGGTGTCACCAGAACACAGGCCAAACACTGAGCGCAGGCCCCAGGGGCTGCTCACCCAGGCTCTTCCCAGGGGCCTTCTCATCACCCCCAGAGCCACACTCTTCTGGGGCAGTCTACACCCTGCTGCCCACTATGGCCCCATGTTGGTCCCATGGGAGGTTTGACCCTGATTCTTTTGGACATGTCTTGCTTCACCACCCCTTATTCCCAGGGTCAGGAAGACCCCGAACACTGTGGCCATGCCTTCTAACATGGGTCCACCTGGTGTGCCGTCAGGGAGGAAAAAAAGTAGGGGACATGAGAGGGCAGGGAGAAGAAAGGTAGTAGAAAAAGAGGAAAGAAGTGAGGAGAGGGAAAGAAAGAGAAGGGAGGACAGAGTCAAGAAAAAAGCTGAAAGCCGCAGGTAAGATGGTGGCAGTTTCGACTGAAGAAAAGAAAAAGCATGATGGGAGAGGTGGCCAAGCAGAGGGGGTGGAGGGGCAGGATGGAGTTGAGCTGGTCTAAAAGATTCTCAGCACTGTCCAGTGATGACAGGAAGGAGACGAACTTTACTTCACTGGAGCCCAACATTCCTCAGCTCTGGGGACTCTGTATCCTCAGAGACCCTCGTAGCCTATGGGATTGTGAAGCAGTTGTTTCACAGAATGTTCTGGAACCCTCTGTCCAACCTCAGGGAGGCCAGAGGAAGGCAGGATGCTCAGCTCCTGGGGAGAATGTGTTCTACACCCACAGGGGGTTCTCATAAATCCCGTCTCCTTTCCAGAGCTGGAAGGGGAAGTGACTTTCTTCTCAGGGAAGTGTGACCATATTGGGCCCTGACCAGTAAACTGTCCCACCCCTGCTGCCTCTAAAGAGGACCTGGGCCTTGCTTCTGGGAGAGCTTGAGGTGGCCAGCAGCTGCAGAGAGGCTGCAGGGAGAGCAGGGCAGGTGGCCTTCATACGGGTTCCATTGACAGGCACCCAAGCCAGGAGCCCAAGAGAAGCAAAGTCTCTTTAGCTCTACCCCATGCCCTGCAACACTTGCTTGCTTCCCACCAAGAAAAAAGTCAAAGATAAAAACTGCTCATGGCTAGGCATGGTGGCTCATGCCTGTAATCCCAGCACTCATGAGGCTGAGGCAGGAGAATTGCAAGTTAGAGCCCAGTCTGAGCACCTCAGTGACTAGGTGAGACCCACTACTAAAATAAAAAATAAAGCCAGGGATATAGCTCAGCAGCAGAAGTGCCTGCCTGGCAAATGAAAGGTGCTGAGTTCAATTCCTGGTACAAAAAAAAAAAAAAAAGAAAAAGAAAAAAGAAAAGAAAGAAAGCGGGCTGTAGCTCAGTGCAAATACTCTGGGTTTGACCCCCCCTCCCCAGTATATGAACAAAAAGCCTGCCTGTGATCTCCACCCCCAGGGATCTCTGTGAAGTCCCTGTGTTTCCTGAGGCCAGATCCGAGCAGGATGGGAGGTCAGGACAGCAGCATGGTGGGTGGTGGTAACACATGTTCAGATGAAAGGGGGAATTGGATGTTACCTGTCCCGTGGACTCCGACTGCTTTCCCTGGATTTAGGGGGAAGGCCTCAGGTAAGAGCCAGTCCGGAGCCCTCCGGAGGAGACGCTGTGACTTGGCCTCCTGGTCTCTGTTGCTGGCTCTCATACTGCCCTTGGTTTTGGGACATCGGAGAAGCCTGTGCTCCTGGGGCTGTTCCTCACGAGGTCGGCAGTTGGGCCTTTGTTATTAAACTCAGGAAGCGGCTGGCAGCTGTTATTGTTCTGCGTGAAATCAAGATTCCGCCCGCCTCAGGACGAAGGATGTGGCTGGAGTGTGGCTTCCTGAAGTCACACAGGAGGGGACTGAAAGGCTCAGGCCTCAGACGGTAGTGTGGCCAGAGCCACAGGACAGCAGGACACAGGGTTCCTTTTTGTCATGACCACCACATCCTAGGAGCTTGGTGTTTTGTTTCATTTTGAGACAGGGTCTCCCTGTGTAGTCCAGGCTGGCCTTGAACTCACAGGCATCCTCCTGCCTCAGCTTCCCAAGTGCTGGGGTTACAGGCATGTACCACCATGCCTGGCCTCACCTCGCATGGCTTTAATATTCAATTTAAAATTTACATTTGCTGCTTGGAAATTCTCCTGGGAGACCCCAGACCTCTGTGTTAGGATACTTGTGGCTGTAATATAGGGGAAAGAAACTCCCAACCTGAAAGACATCTGCAACGAGTTTGTGTTCTCTAAAATTGAAGAATAAATTTTAGGAACAACAGAGGTTAAGAGCAGAATGTATTTATTGAGGGAAAGAAAGCTTTTGTCTGAGAGAGGGACAGAAGGGGACCCACACCAAGCACTCTACCTTTTCTAGGGGTTTTTTGTTTTTTCCAGGATATATAATTTATTACATGAATTACTGTGTATCATGAGAACTTCACGTACATATTTTATTCTTTTTTTTTCTTTGACATAATTTTATTGATAAACAAATAGCAATGAGACAGTTTCAAATCAAATCAGTAGGACAGTTTCAATAATTAACACACTGCATACATTCTTCCTAGTGGTTAATTGCTGTACAAGATGCGGACATGATATCCTATTTACAAACACCATTAGAACAAATCACTCTATTCATTAAGAGAATGTAACTATATATCTATCCTAGCCACTTTGAATACACAGATACAAAATGGACATTCATCTGTATCCCCTTTTTTTGTTAAGTTCCGTTATTTGAATATTATAGGTGTGTAAACTCAGCAAAATA